GTCGGGGGAGGGCCCAGCGGGCGGCGGGAGAGGCCGTTAGCCGTGCAGCCCTGGAATCCTGCCACGTGCCCCGGCTGCTGGGCAGGGCAAGCGCCCGCCATTCCCCACACTGCAGGGACTCCCTGGGCCTGGGCTCTGCTCAGACCCACGCACCAGCACGTGCGAGCCCTCAGGCCCGAGGCCCACCTGTTGTGCCCGCTGGGGTGTTACGCGCTGCTACTGGCATGCCAGGGCAGGCTGCTGCAGAGCCTCCTGGGGCCCAGCCATGCTGGTAACCCCTGCGAGTTCCTGCAGTGTGGTGCCAGGCAGCTGCAGGTTGGCACGAGCCAGAGGGGACTCTGCACCGTGAAGTGGCCCACGCGGGTCTCTGGCCTGGGGCCGCTGCTAGGGAGAGCGCCGCCGGCCCCCGGCCCCCGGCTCTGCTCACCCAAACGTCCAGCCCACTGGCAATCACACCGATGGCACCTGTGGCCCGGTTGATGGTGAACATCTGGGGGTGAGGTTCCTTGGGCTCCTGGTTCAGGATGGAGTACGCGATGACCCCGTTGTAGGTCTCTATGGCGTCGTCGGCGTCGGTGGCCGTTACCTGCATCACCGAGGTGCCTGAGAGAGGGGGAAGTGGCAGCAGCTCTTCCTTTGCTCCTTCGGCAGGGGTGCTGCAGGAGGGTGCAGGACACTGAGTTTGTAGGTGCCCGGGACCTGGGGGAACTCTGCCCCGGAAGGCAGAGCCAGGGCTTCCATCGCAACAGGTATGGAGAAAAGGAGTTGGGAAAAAGTGACTTCATTTAGTAAGAGTTTGAGAACAAGTAGGGGTCAGCAAATGGAAATAGGTAGCAGGTTTAACAAAAAACAAAGTCTCCCCCCCCCCCCCCCAAACCAAACACCACACAGTCAACCTGTGGAACTCCTTGCCAGAGGACGTTGTGGAGACCAGGACATTCAGTTCTTTCTTTGAACTGAAATTCATGGAGGTTGGGTCCATCAATGGTTATAAGCCAGGATGGGCCGGTGCCAGGTGCAGACGGGACACGGGGCTAGATGGACCGTTGGGCCATTCTGCCTCCTGGCAGGAGGAGCCCCAAATGCTCTGAGGGGACCTTACGGGCAAGAGCCACAGAAGGGTGTCAACAGCCCTTGGCTTGTGGAGCCTGCCCCCCTCCCCGGCCACCGCAGACCAGAGGCGTGTAACAATTCAGCCCTCAGTACGGCCCATGGGCGCCAGCCGACTCCAGGGCGCCCCCCCCCCCCCGCCCCACGGAGCCTTTGAAGAGCTCCTGGGTGAACTGGGGCTTGTTGTCGTTCTGATCCGTCACCGTGATGATGATCTCCATGGGCTCCTCCACGGGCCGCCCGTTCTCGGACACGGCGTGGGAGAAGAGCTGCAGAGACACGAGGGCCGTGAGCTCCGGGGGCCTCCGCCAGCCGCCAGGCTCACAAAGGGGCCCTGCAAGCCCCCCACCCCCGACTTACGTGGTATTTGTCGATCGCTTCTCGGTCCAGGGGCTGAGTCACCATCATCCAGCCGGTCTTGTCCTCGATGGTGAAGACGCCGGTGGGCGGCGTGTCCGCGCCCTGCCCCGTGATGCTGTAGATGATCTTGGACTCTTTGTCCCGATTGGATTTGATCTGGCGGGGGGAGGGGACACCAGGAGACTCAGAGCCCACGATGCAGACGCAGCCCCTCCTCCACTGGTTCTGGGGCATCCAGAGCCCCTCCCAGAGGGGATCATCGGCAGGGGGGGTCTCCGCAAAGGAGAAGCCAGGGCTTGGTGGCTGACCAGGGATGCCGGAGTTGTGCATGGTCAGGCATAGGCACCCCGGGGCTCACCCCACTGAGCTGCTCACTGGCTTTGACGTGCCACGGGCTGCTCTAGTGGCCCAGTGGCTGCAACACAGAAGCCAGCCTTTTCCAGTGGCCCAGGAGAGGGGAAGAGCCAGGCCATGGCACAGTGTAGCTGGGAGGTGGCATTATTAGACCGGGGCGGATGAGAGTTGTGGGGCAGCACAATGTCAGAGGGGCCCCCCCTTTGGAGAAAAAAAATAGAAAAAAGGCATCAAATGCCCAAATTGAAGCTATTTTCATATTACATGTGAATTGGGTAAATTTAATAGAAATTAATTTAGTTGGATAATTTTGATTTGAATTCTATTGTAAGTCCTTCCTGAACGTTGTAAATTATTAACGCAGAATTGTGTTTATTTGTATTCAAGTCTCCTCTCCCTCGCGCCCCTCACTGTTCTCCTTGGTCCTCCCCCCCCCCGCCTGCCACTCAGAGCCCAGAC